CAAAAACCCTTTATTGAAAAAGTGATGCCATGCCATGCATTCCCAATCCGGTTGCAGGGTAGTTCGCACATATATTTAGTAATTCATCACATGTACATCTTCTCCCTGATACGGAGGAGTGAAGGGGACAAAAAGCCATTGGGTGAAGGAAGAGAAGGAGCACCCTCAACCAATTTCTTCTCCAAGACGTCATCATTAAGAAATAAAAAGTATATTGTTGAGAATTACAAGAACCAAACAGGGATTGTGGGGGAGCGGGTATTTGCTGTTGAGCTTGTCCTTAAATTCAAAACTCACTTTGAATTCCCAACATTTCCCACTTAACGAATAACTTTATACGATGGAAGAGTCTCGAAACATGCTGTGGGTCGACCTGTAAACGTATTTGGCGGTGATCGTCTCTCCCTCCAGCAAGTCATAAAACGTCCAACACAGCAGATCAGGCCCTAACTGTTCTCAACTGGGTCCTTTATGTGTGTCCAGAAACAGACCTACAACATCATCTAAGGATAGATCGAACGGACAGTCTGGAGTTGAAAAGGATATTTTCCATAGTTTGTTTGGGGTTTGTTTTTTGTTTTTCAACCTTCTTTTGGATCCACAGCAGAATGAGATGTGAGAAAAGCTGAACCTGATGGACACAAGTCTTTTTTTCAGTCTGAGTAACTGAGATAATAGGACAGATAGTCTTGATACTGTGTTGGTCAAGAAAACATTGAGGTATCGCGTATGGACCGACTGTTGGACTTTGATTGGCAGAGTGCGTATCCAGGTTCCCATTTGCATTCAACTAACTGGGGTCTCCTCTGCAAGAACCTACCTTAGGACAAAGGGTTCACCAAAAACATAGTTCCAATATGATGGCATTAATACTAAATAAATCAGAATACACTCTGCGTCACTCCCAAGATGAGTAAAGGAGTTTGCAAAAACAATTCTCCCTTGAACCGTCAGGTTTAAATTAAACAGAATTATCACCTAGCATTGCTAGACTCTAGAACGATTGAACAGAGTCTTCCTCAATCTATTATTGTTACTGTAACATTTTGTAACTGTCTCATATTGTTAAATTTCCCCCTTTTCTAATATTGTACAGCACTGCGGAATAAGTTGGCGCTATATAAATACCAATAATAAACAGAAAGTTGGGTACGTGTTCTCCCATACCACCTTCTACAACTTTAGACATACTTTATCAAATTAAAATTAACCCTTTAAGGGATAAAAAGGCAGTCACAGCAGTGCCCTGGATCCACCACTGGCCATCTAAGGGTTAAAATATATTTTCAAAATGATTGTATCTACATTCGGATGAGCTCCATCAAAGCAAGCCCTCTAATATATAAAATGATATGTTTGGGTAGATTACTGCACGGTATGTACACATGTCAGAACACGTCTAACTACTGAACCTTAATAAATACTTAAAGCCAAGCAAGTCAACAAATGTTCTGCTGCTCCGCAGAACACCAAGGGTTAACAGGTCATGGAGCAGTGGCAGAGAATTAAAGGGAGTAATTGAACAAAAGCGTTATCAGCGATTTAGGGAAGAGATTTGCAATTGGCTTTTGTTAAAGTTCATGTATAAACATTCTTATCTTTACAAGTGATTACTCAATGGAAGGCTTGTAAATGTCTGCCCTCTCCTGGTGGCATTCAGTAATACAGACAACACACACTCATCATCATATAACTGTAGATAATTATAATATAAAAAATAATAATAATCAAGCATGCTGCTTTTATCTTCTTACTACTTCTCAAGTACATCGGAGCTCGTTTTTAGTTTTGGTTTTACAGCACTTTGAAGGATAAAAGATCCCACTACTCCTTCCCTCCCTGGGAAGAGCAGACAGAAGAAATACAAATGCAGTGACGTCACAAAACCACACAGTTACCATCCTTGATCTAAAACCACACAAATTACTTAGAAAGAGTTGCAGTAACTAGTGACAATATATAATTTGGCCTCGGTTTGCACCATGTTCCCAAACACTTAGGGGAAAGAATTATCCTATTTCACCTAAAAAATCTGTACCAACCTGTATCCTTCTAACCCTCCAACAATTCTAAATCTAATTCCTCTTTCTGGAAACATTAGTTATTGGCTAAAGTGGGAATATTTGGGAAGTCAAGTTATGTTTTCTTATTTTGTCCAACATCGGTCACAGCAAATATTCATTTCACTGGGAAAACCCTATGGAAAATAAACTTAAGCCCCCAGAAACCCTAGTTTTCACGGTCAGCAGTTATTGGTCTGGATAAAGTTTCTGGATATCATTTCCTCCCACTGGAATAGTTGTGTGTTCTGTCCATGAATGGCTTGTATGGACGACGGATGTTTGTTAGTCAGAACATTCAGGTTTTGTTTGTCACCTCCTACTAGAGTCAGGTTTGGCAAGTTCACACGGCCATCATCAAGAGACCACTTGTAGCTAATCACCCACACAGGCCATCTTAACAACAAGGATTCACTTTCAAAACCGCTCAAGGGAATTAGGAATGTTTCTGTGTAAACCGTTTCATTGTAGATGTTATCGGAGGTTCAGCTTGCTGTGTCACATGGGACCAAACTCAGAAAGAACTGGTGGTTACTATAACAAATTAGAAAACGGTCGCTGTTAATACCAAGGACACAAACTATCAGAGTTGTGTGTCGCAAACGACTAGAGGCTGGTGAAGGAGGTATTTGGAAGGTTATCCTAATGGTAAACCACCCCAACATGACAGCAGGTACTTGTAGTTAAGATGCAGTTTATTTCTCTGTCCAATCTGAAGGCCAAGTTAGCAGCTTCTCTCAATGGTTCATTGATTGAAATCAAGAAAAGCTCACTTGGTTTGAAGATTCATCAACTAACACAACATTGTAAGAGTACATACACCGAATACACAAACATTTATAGCAGCAATATAGTTCAGAAATATTTACAAATGGAGAATTAAAAGAAAACCAGTCGAGATCTTGGTCTAGAGGTGGTCATCTCAAAAAGCCTTAGCTAGAGGCAATTTAATTTACCTGATAAGAGCCATAATTAAGATGAAGCAATTAATGGCACGAGCAAGTAAATAATCACTTTGCTCTTGTTTATTTCATACCTACCTCCAGCATAGATCCAAGTCACTCCTGAGGATAACGGGGGTATGCAAGAGAAGTCATTCGGGGCAAAGTACTAAAAGTAATGTAGTAACCATAGTTACTCTTTATACTTAACCCTCTGTATGTGCACATTACCTATAGGAGCACAGACAGGCACGCGTACTGCAGCAGCCATACTTGTGGAACATGTAAACATTTTAAAACACGTTGATTCATCCTGGCTAGCACAGTGCATATATTAAATGTTATGTTCTAAACAAGGAAGGAGATCGCATTGCATGACAGATTAAATGAAACTCACATTTCACAGAAGAGCTTTGTGAATATAAAAGATTTTGCTAGTCATGCAGGATATACAATTAACTCAACCTTTTTGTTCCTATGGCATTACGCAATACAATTGTCCAATCAGTGCCAAGAACAAATATTTCTTATTCTGCCACAGATTATCCTGCTAACCCATCTCCGCAACAATTACGTTGCTAATTGGTTAATGACCTTCAGAAGCTTTCAGATCATTTAATGTTACTTTGCCACAATGACCTAAATCTCCAACTGTGGTTGGAACGAGCTTCAAACCAGATTTTAATAGAGTCAACGCTAATTATTTCTCAATGTCCAAAGTCCTGTTCCCACAAAACAGAGGAAGCATAGTTAATCCACAAAGAAAAACACTCAATAGCGGAATTGTTAGAGGGGAAAAAAATAGGTCAGATTGTTTTATAGGAGGGAATTTAAAACTCTTCCCTATGGATTTGATTTGTATGCCTGGCGCCAGTGAGTATATTCGCCTTAGTCAGGGAGGGTACTTAAACCTTTAGCTCAGAGATTCGGTTTTCCTTTTGAAATTTAGGATATTAGTGACTTCACTGGCTCCTTTTAACACTGCTTCAAAAGTATGCATAAAGTGTAAAAAGGATAGACAATAAACTAGCTTACGGAGACTTAAAGATTTTTTTATTTTTTTTGTAAATGCATAGGTGTCCAGGGCATACAAAAAGTAGATAGATTAGCAGCAGGGCTGCCCAAATGGTAGATCCTCAGATACTGTAGAACTACAACTCCCATGATGCTTTGCATGCCTTTAGAATGACAAGTCATCACGAAAGCTGTAGTTATAAAACATCTGGGGATCTATCTTTTGGGCACCCCTGTATTCAAGCGATGCGTATATTGACCTTTAAGCACGGTCATGTTAAAAAAAAGAAAAGAAAAGAAAACCAAGTGCATATGAAAGATTTCAGACAACGGTTACAAGCCAAAGTATTTCAGAGATTTCTAAAAGCTGACCCCTTTTAAGATTTAATTATTTATTAAACCAATGGATCGTAAAACTTTACCGCGTTCTCAAACCATTCAACTTGATAATCTGCTTCTTTACTCGACTGATAAGAATTAAAAATCGTGCATAATCTTGGCACATGGAGCAGAGTGGGAGAAGTGTTTAACTGTAAGAGATAAATATAATAGTTCACATTCAACAAAAGACAAAGTCAAAGACCCGCAGAAGAAATCACCTAATCAAACAGACCAAAACAAAGGAAACGGGAAGGAGAGCCACATCCAGGCCAGTTTGTCTCTACTCTTCCTACCCATGTGTCACATTAAACATCCATGTGCAGTGTGGTTAGGTTGTGTCCTACCTTAGGGTTGAAGGACAGCTCTGTAAGATTTGAGATTGGGAGTGATGGTAGCAGAAAGCATCTCCGGAAGCCCAGCGTGCTTGAGTGTATAACCTGGACTCACAACAGGTTTAAATAGTCCAATCCCACTCCTGGGACAAAAATGCATATATTTTATTAAGTTAAGGAATGCATCATATCATTGAAGAACAAAATGTACGTACGTTAAGTCTTTAGAGAAATTGTTACAAAAATTTTTTGTAAAGTCAAGTTTGCAACTGCTGGGAACTTAGAACCAAAGCCTACTCTAATTGAACATCAATCATTCACTCCGCACCAATATAGCCTATAGGAAATATTACTCTCAGTCATGTTACTAGACCAGTGCTATAGATAACACTATTACACGTGTACATATTAAAACCACAGACGGCATACCAGAATTAATGTCATTTTATTAATAAACCGACAGTTACTTTCTATCACAGACAGAGGACATGAGAACAGTTTTAAGCAATGAACCTTTCAAGGCAGGCGCATAAATAGACCCACGCCTCACCCTGTGCAATACATAAGTTTGTACCAACAAAAGAATGTTTCCATCTGCTAGCAAAACCACCATCAACTTATCTTTGTATTGGGATCCACAGACCATGCTTTGCCACTTCTTTAAAAAAATAAAATAAAAACATTTATATTTATTTATTGATACGTTGCTGCATTAAAAAAAAATAAAAAAAATAAAAAATATTATAGGTAGCAATGGCAACTAGGGCATTGCAAACCATATTCCCATCATGCTTGGTCAGCCTTCAGAAACAGAGGGTTATGGGAGTTGTGGTCACACTATCTGCAGTGCAATGGTCAGTCATTGCCTACCTACAGATTAAAAAAGACCAACAGGTAGTTTGACCAACCCGGCTATAGATTACACGGCATATTCTTATCTGTAAAAACAAATGGGTACCTGTGTAATCCTTTCTGCAAAATCCCATAAAGTGTCGTCCTCCCTCTATCTTCTCTGCTATCACGTAGATCGAGTATTATTTAAAGAAAATTGTTTATAAAGTCTAATTGACTAGCCATTGCCAAGTAAAATTTAGCCCTGGCAGGTAGAAATTCTCCTTGATAAATGTGTCGTGGACTCTCCAGGTTTGCTGTGGCAACTAACATTTAGTAGCATAGGAATTGAAATTTTAGTCCTTGACAAGCATATATAATAAATTGGTTTTAAATCAAAATAAAAGGCTATATGTGTACTTCAGAATTAGGAAAATTATCTGATCTGTATTACGGTACAGTATTCACATCCGATAATATTTACCAGAATGCACAGGCTATTGCTTCCTAACAAAAAAATAAATAAAAAAAAAACCACCAAAATGTTATATTTTATAAACAGTTTATGAATTTGGAAATTGAAGGTTCACACAGGTAGAACATTTAACATGTGCTCTATCCAAGCAATTGTGTAAAAATTGCTTAACACAGACTATTGTTTATGTTCCGGCAGTACATAAAAATTAGACAATGACATAACATATTTAACAATACATCTTAGGACACAAACTACAAAAAAAAAAAAAAAGCACTAGGTAGTTATTGTAGGACATGTGTTAAGAGCATCACTTGATTCAGTGTATTAACAACATAATTTCTCATTTTTACATAGGAAATCATTTTACATTATAGGATATTTAAAGAAGTCATTTTAAAAATAAAATATTATTTTTTGCCTATCTGCAATCTAGCTGATGCAGCGGCCTTTAAAGGGATTTTCACTAAACAGTTCATGGTGTTAAATTGCTTACATAAGGCCAAAAAATAAAAATGTATTTTTCAAACTATTTAGTAAAACACCCTTGCTATAAATCTAAGACATAGCTACTACAATGATTTAACAAAGTCTTTCATTTTGATGGCAAACATGGTGTGAGGTATGAGCAGAATGGAACAGTCAGAATTTATCAAAAACAGCAAAAGATACACTTAATTAAAATACAAAACCATCTAAAAGTCTATGCCATAACTACAGAACACAGGTGTAAGTGCGTGGTCCTAACAGCTTGTTATAGGCTTACATCCTGCAGATCTGGCAGTCTGACCTGGAAGAAGGTCTTCATGTACTAAGTGAGCCAAGACAGCTCTAGGGTACTGACAACAATCCAAAACTGAAATAATTAGTTAAGGGCACTTTAACCGTTGCGTTTTAAGTAAACAAACTATTTTTAAAAGCACCCATTTTAAGAAAACAAAGCATTAATAAAAATGCCAAGCAATGAGCAGCCATAGGCATTTAAAGAAATGCATGTTCAGCACACGTGGTGTACAAAGGCAGCTATACCATTTTACCATTTGTGCTTGTGGAGGTCTGGAGCATAAACCCAGAACACAGTACTTATCGATGCCATGGACCACGAATTTTAAATGGCAGCAAACCGGTTTGCTCTTGCCAAGTGCCGATAACACAAGAATATCTGTAAAATGCATAAAAGGGCAGTATCTTCAGTATGTCACCTCCGAATAAGGTGATGGAATTATCAGTAATCTATGATTCTACATAAACGTTCTCCATTGTTTCCATGTTAGCCAGACTGCTGCCGGTGGGTGTGCTTCTCCGATTTCTTCTTGGCATCAGACAGTAGTAGCGATGGTTGGAAAGAGGAATGGACGGTGCGGTTCATCAGCGGCTGCAGAGGACGGAAATTGTCCACCATGTACTTCTCATCTTCTCCTACCGCACTGTAGAGGAGACTGCGGAACACTGCCAACTGAAAATACAAACCCAGAGACAAATTCATTAAATCCTGCCATGTCATCACATTAGCATCACATCAGCGAGGGCTGAGACAAGCATTCGGTTTATGCCCTCTTTACAGGAAGTCAGTAATTGTATAATAACAAGCACAGGTGTAAATACAGCTTGGAAGGTAGGCTTGTTTGAGCACGGCCCTCACACACTCTTGATCAAATAGGTCTTACCATTGTAAATACAATTGTGTCATTCATAGGCACACAGTCAGTGTAACCTCTTAACATGTGCCACCATTTCCGATAATCAGTGCTGAAATCTTTTATGCAAAAATCTAATTACGTCCAACAATTCCCTTTTATGGGAAGTGATAAAACACCATACATGCACAAAAAAACCACAAACAAAAACAAACCAACAAACAAGCCAACTCACAGCTTATTTTAGTTGGATTACAAATACTCTGACCTTGAAAGATCTCATGTTTCTCTGAATGGGAGTCTGCCACATTTAGCCATGCGGGCTGACACTACCAAAGGCTAATACTTCTACAGCCAAACATACTATTGCCAGCTCCCCTACAGATTGCATAATTAAACACAGCGGGGTGTCTGCATGCACAGGAATACGGTCACTAGCTCTCCACTCATGCATATATTGAAATCCTATCACTCCGAGTCTGGTACTGATGGTAAAGTCGGACTTATTATAGAGCGTTGGGGGATAAATAGTACCTGACTATGGTCAACTTCGATTGGCTTTTTCATGATTATCCAGCTGACAGACTCCGTCAGGGGTGGAGTGGTTAGGGACCCAGCGTAGGTCCAGTAATCACTGCATGATGGCAGGAGGCAGGATGGATCAAAGTAATTAAATTCTGTAAGTGAATCCTAAATAAAGAACACAGAGAGAAACTTCAATACAGAAAAGGTTGTTTTGTTTATGGAGTCTGCAGAATTATTGTAACCCCATAAGGATATTCCATATTTTGCTCATATCCCCATCCCTAAACCCACATGTCCATGCAGCCCTATGGTCCTGGAAACTTCATATTTCCACCAAAATATTTCTAGCAATAGATCAACAATATGAAATAACCCTCTAAGCAGGGGTAGGCAAGCTTCAGCACTCCACTGCACGCTTACACCCATAATGCTGGCAAAGCATCATGGGAGGTGTAGTCCAAAACATCTGGTGTGCCGAAAGTTGCCTATGCCTGCTCTACAGTAAGATGAATGGAGGTCATGCGATCACATGCAATAATTGAACAAATACAAGAATTGTGTTCTCGGTGTACCCCAGGAGAAATCAAAATGCATTGAGAACACTTAAAATAAAACTTGGTACACAGACACACCACTTCTAACAAAAATATTTTTTTAAAGAAAGGAAAATGAGAGGCCAGGGTCTAACAGTCATGGTGGAAAGACATGTCCTGAGCGAGCTTCTCACTTATCCTAGCATAAAGAGGATTTAAGAGCCTCATCTAGCTTGATTTATGAAAGTTTCAGAGACTTACCTGATCCTTGTCCTGGCTACAGTGTAGGGGTCATCGACTCGACGATAAGTCATCTGCTTGACGTACTAGGTCATATGGACTAGTGTACACTGGATGGGAGAAGCAGCTGATCTCCCAACCCGGAGTTGCCTTAATGACTACAGAGTCATTCGAATGCCCCATTACCCCCTCCTTATACTCCTGGGAGGCTACCCTGCTGTGGTAGGACCATGTGGTGTTGCTGCAACAAAAGACCTATTGCCCTACTCATGATGGCGGAAGCCGCGTGGTTCCCCAGTTTCAGTTGTGAGAAATTCGAAGTTCTGTTCAAACTCCACTGACTTTTGGCATAAGCTGGAAAACAAGGTGCATCAATCTGCTCCAAACCGAGTGGCCACTCACCTCAAATGTTGTCTTCAAGTCCCCATTAGGAGTCTGCGCGTCTAGATATCGAGGGCTCGAACATGGTGGCAGAGCGGGCAGCATCCTTCACCTGATCACAAGTCTGAACAGAAGCGTGTCCCATTACAGTCCAAATTTTGGATTCCCGGGGAAGCTGTGGTACTCATCGGAAAGCTGACATTGACACAAGACCTGGTCTGCTTGCCTACATCTGGGCACAGAGGCCTGAAGTACTTCTCCTTGTTGCAGGACTGTGTTCTGCCCCTGGAGGGCATAGGCTTGTTTGACCTTTTTGATGGGACTCTTAATGGCTCCTGGCCACTCATCTCTTCTAAGAGTTTATGTAGGGGATCAGATAAGGATTTTGTTTTTGCATTCTTTGCTGTGGTTTTTCTGTTTTGTTGATGGACTTTATTCACTCATCACATGACCAATAAGGAAAATGCTTTTAAATTGGGTGGTGTGCCTCTGCAAACCCCCTCACCCATCTAATGAAAAGGCTACAAACCCTTTGTCCACCTGCCTGCTTCCAGTGCAGACGTCCCTCTGTGCTGGCTCCGGCTCCTCAGACGTCCGATCAAGGGGTAACTCAATGAGCATGCATGGCAAGCGCCGCACACGCATTACGCCTTCCCTATAGTACAGCATTGATTTATCGCAAGGATGTCCAGCGTTGTTTCACATCATTAATCTTCATGAAACTACAGGTATCGTCTTTAGTGGCGGTCTGGGAGAGGCAGTCTTAACTTTGCAATTTCTCTAAAACTGCAATGTTATACATTGCAGGTTTAAGGGGACAGGGACACTGCACCCAGACCACTTTAATGAGATGAAGTGATCTGGTTGCCTATAATGTCTCTTTAAAGCTCAAACAGTATGTTAAAGTGGATGGAAGTTTGGTGCCCTCTAGTGGCTGAAACATTAATGTTTTTCCACATTACACAGGATTCAAACAAGTGATTTTACCTTATACCGGACGGAAGGCAATATGTCCACCAGCTTCTGTAGTTTCTCGTGGTGTCTTCCGACCTGTGCATGGAAATACATACACATTATAAAAATCCGAATGCAGATCGAAAACCCAGAGCAATAGTCAGTTATAGCCCATTTTTAAAGGCCTGTACTAAAACGCAAACAGGGAGGTAACTTGTCAATATGCGAGAAATCCCCTTATTTCTGGTTCTAATAAAGCACAAATCTTTTCTATGGTCCACAGTACATCACACAGAGTGGCTATGGTGCCAGGGGTGCCCTCCCAGAGAAATTTGTCCCCAAGACAGCAGTGCCACATCAGGCATCTCCTGCAGAACATGCTGGGTGTTTTCAGAGCTGAAGCAGGAATGCGCTCATTGGCTGAGAGCACTCCGCTGACAATCTCTGCGGCCCTGCTCAGTAGAATCAACTGAATTCTACATTCTTGAGAATCCGAAAGCACCCACAGGTGCCCAGGAGGATCCAGATAAGTTGTCAAACCAATGTTAAATGTTCTGACAAATTACTCTGGGAGGGAACCAGGGTACTTCTGGCACCATAACAACTATATTTAGGCTGTAGTGGTTTTGGTGCTTGGAGTGTTCCTTTTAAGACGCATTTGCATGAATTGGTAATGTAGAAAGATAGGAAGTACCTGGAGAGGCAGCTATAAGGGAATAAGAATAAATATTTAGATGCAGGTTACAATTGAAAGCTATTCTCACCTTTAAGAAAATTCCTATGACTGCCAAGCCATTTTCTTCCATGATCGCTTCTTCAAAGGTTCGATATTTTGTGCAGTTCCAATGCACAAGATGGAGCTGAAACATTAAAGGACAGAGATGAGGATTCACTTTAGCATTTCTTTAGGCTAAGGCCCACTTGGATGAGATTGTGTCCTATTCCGCCACCATAAAAATTAATGCAACTAGAGCCTGTTCTACACACGTCTCAGGTGCACAAACAGTAAAACCAATTTACTGCAATGTACTGACCTCTGCAGGAAACACTTTGCTGTCCACGGTATGCTCGGAGCCCCAATCATTGTTCACTCCCCAGTGGAAATGGAATTGCTTTAGCCTGTAGGGGTTTTCCAGTGGTCCCCCACTTACCACTAACAAACAGCATCGAGAGAAGAAAAATTAAATAAAAAATTATTATGAACAAACTGAATTTTCAATCATCTGTAAACAAAACATCATTTGTATATGGGTATAGAACACTTTTGCTTACACTTAAGTTATAGGCTGTGGCAACTAATCTGAATGAGAGTTTTTCTTTTGCAATGGTTCTGCACCAACTGCACCGGTTATAACGTTTAACCCCTTGAGGGCCAAATGCTCCGTGGAGACTTGTGGCTATTAGTTATATGGAACTTTATATTTCACAATAGGAGACTTAAAAGTAATATCATCATCAGAACCATAATAGCAACTGTAGTGATTATAGAGGCAAATAGGCTGTGGGCACCTGAATCCCTCCTTTTCAGATTGCGTATGTTGAATTCACACTTCCAAATTTGTGATGCCAATTTCTGATTTGGACAGCATTGATAGCTAGAGAATACCATGCAGTGTGATTGTTTTGTGGTTTTGGACCTTTTTAAGACTATTTAAAGGGACACTCCACTGCCCAAAAACAAAAATCACTGTTAAGTGGTTCCAGATTGGCATAATATAACCCCAAAGAAAACATGCCTTTAATTATGCATTTTGTGGATGGGTGAGGGGTGTGTGGGGGGGCGGGGGGCCTTACAAACTGATTGCAAAAGTTGCAGGTCTCTTGTCTGAAGTCCTTTTACACTCTCCCTTTCTAACCCCACCCAGACTTTCTGTGTCTGTCCAATCACAGACTTCTCAATGCAGTTCAATGAGAAGTATTTGTAAGGCAGGTGCTCTGGGTAATTGTCTATGGAGTTTACCTCCACTGAGCTAACCATCCAGGAAGTAACAGAACCAGTTGCATGATCGACAACCAGGGGGTGTAACAGAGGTTAATTTATATATTAAAAAATTAAACATAATTTACAATGAATGTCCGTCACTAAGAGCATGCCTAATAAATAAATGCATGAAAGACTGAGCACATGGCAGCTTATCAGAAGCACACTGTTAACAGAAGCTGTAATAAGAGATGAAGGAGCCGGCAGCTGATAATAGGAGTGTTCTGATAAGCTCCGGGTGAGCTGAAGTGCTTCTAGTAATGTCGTCCAAGTTTCTGTAAGCTGACAACACTTAATCCACCTAGTAAATACTGGTAACATGCATCACATGTTCTGCAAGCTACGTTTCCATGCAGCGCTGGGTTAAATAAAATAAATCTTCAAGAAATTATGCTTTATAAAGCACCAACGTCTGCAGCGCTGTACAGTGAAACTCAACTCATAGTACTAAAAATAAATGTGGAGTGAAATAATGTATTGTTGTCAGACATGTCATCATACAGCTATTTCCAAAGTACTAGCACTAGCGTTCCTCTGGCAGTGAATGTGTTAAGGTAGAATGATGTCAAAGTGTCCTTGGGAGGCAGGGGGATTGCATCATTAAGATAAAGGTAAAGTGATCACACATCACACACACAATATAAATACATGGAGCACGCGGTCACCCAGCTGCACGTGTGTTTGCTCATTGCATAACCATCGTACGTTAGATGGGAAGAGCTGATAAGGGGGAAGCCCATCCCTCCCACTGAGACTGTACATGAGAAGAGTGCATGAACACAACTAAAGGTCAGATGCAACAGGAAAACACACCATAAAATAAAGTAGATGATGTATACAGAACAATTTTGGGTCAAAGTGGTAAAAGCAATCGCGGTGGCAACCAATGGAATGGTCATGCTGGCTGCACAGCCAATAGCACATCAGCATCAAGTCAATCAAGTTTCTTTTCATAACCATTTGATTATTAATTAGATAGAATGAGTATTTTAAAGATTTTTCCTCCTTGGACCTCAACACTAACTATAAATAAATAATGTTAGAATATTGGGTGTTCTTTACGGTCCTGTGATTCAACGCCAAAAAGTTTAATTAAATTAAAATACACTTCACACCTTGAGCTTCTAGGGTGTTGTCATCTGAGTCCCCAACTCTAGGACCCTGAAATCAGCATAAAATAATTGGTCAGATTTAGAATGAAACTCATTCCACCATCAAGTGGACCAGGCAACGTTTCAACCCTGTAAGGTTCTTTGTCAAGCCTTGAAGTGTAACACTGTTCATTTAGAAACCGTGTTAATTTTTATTGAAATTTGACTTTTTTTTTTTAATTAAAAAACAGGACAAACTCTTAACACACAAAGCGCTTCAGCAAGTTAAAGTTTACAGATTACTTAAACATTTTTTTTTCCTCTTGTAATGTCATTTGTCTTCTACTGTAAAAACAAGTGCTGATAGAACCTAATGGTCAACTTACCTTATGCACCACCAATATATTGTAATGATGATATGTGATCCACTAACAGTTTCAGGCCTCCAGGGCAATGTAAAGACTCACTATGTTTCTTCATTGTATTGTAAAAATTAAATCTTTAAAAGTTTTAAAAAAAACCAAAAAAAACACAAGCATGTTTTTTCAAAAATCCAAATGTCACATAATAGTCTTCTCAATGGCAAGACCATGCCAAGGCCAGTGTAAAGGCTTAAGGGACACTCCAGAAGAGCTTTTTCATTTTGCAAAAAGTACAAATTTCAATAGAAATTTACATTTTCATGAAATAACAGTTACACCCTTTTAATTTTCAATTAGACAACAGGTCATGTTACTTCCTGGTTTGTTTAGCTCAGTTTAGGTAAACTCAAGAGGCAGCAATTGTGCAGAGCAAATGCCTTGTAAAGACTTCTCATTAAGAAAGTCTGTGATTGGACAGCCACAGGAAGTCTGGGCAGGGTTAAAAGGGGAGGACTTGGAAAGGCAGCAGACAAAAGAACTGCAGGTTGTGCAAACGGTTTTTAAGATTTACCCCAATGAAAAAAATGCAAGCATGTTTTCATTTGGTGTTGTATCTACTAAACAGTGATTTTTATTTATTTTGCATTGGGCTGTGGACTGTCCCTTTAATTAACAAGAACACTTCTGTTCAACATATTGGAGCTACTCCAAAACATACAGTATCACAATAAAATACCTTAATTTTCTTGTTTTACCCTAGCTTTGTAATTGACCTTTGCATTTATTTTACCTCCAAAATGTCAGATTATGGAAAATCAATTTGTTTCTCAATCATACTCACAACTGTAGAATGGGGCACCTGTGCTCAAGTAAGGAAATCATGCCCTGTGAGAGGAGCTATATCACCTTTTTTATTACCTGATTTATCAGTACAATCATCAAATTCCACAAGGAAGGCGTATCCGTTATTCCAGATGTGAAGACACGTATTTGGGTCGTAGTGAGTTTTCACAGGCGCCAGGTCAGGATGAAAAATGCTATCCCGAACACGGATGTCAATTGGAGACTGCCGGGTACCGCCAGGGATATCTAATTGGCCTTTCCATAGAGGATGCACTGTGGGACATGGAGATGGGTTAGCAAGAAAAATACATTATTCTGGCTCACTATAGTAACTTTCTCATAGTAAAGGTAAACCAACATCAGAGAATGGGGTAAAGTTAAACTATTCTTGAACGGATACATTGTTCTTATGGCTAGTAAACAGAGGGCAAGATTCTACTTTGCAATCAATTAAAGAGCAATGATTGCAAACGGTTTGGAACAAGTTCCTCCCTAACGTACTGCAGCGTGTGCACACTGTAGGGACAGCGATCCTCCCGGAGAGGGAGTCTATCCGGACTTCGCATGCACAGTCCCCTATTCTCTCAACTACAAACCACAACCAGTTCATTAAACAGTGATCTGGGCTGTGTAATTTGACAGCAGCTGCAATGGTCAGATAGGGCTTAACATCATTCCAGAAAAATACTATTTCACTTGTTATTCCAGATCGTTTAAATGTCTCAGATGACAAGGATTTTCATTTTTTGAAGTTCTAGGGAAGCAGATATTGCCAAGTGTGATTTATGCTTGTAGAGCTAAGCCTTTGTGGCATTCAACAAAATCCCCCCCCCAAAAAAAAAAAAAGTTCCTGCACACTATCCCAAATCCCTAAGCACATTTAAATAACTGGAGGTTTTTTAGTATCACTTCAATGGAAATTAAAGCGTAAGCTCACCTGCCACGTCAAGGCAAACCTCTTAGGTGAGTTCTACATTAACAATTCACCTTGCTGTCTTCAGCTAAAATGCAAAATCTCTATTGAGACAGAGGGGCATTTTTCCAAATCCCTACACACCTATTAGCCCTTAAAAAGGTCTCTAATTACCAAAACCACTACAGCTTAATGTCCCTGTAGCTTATGCCTCTGCATGCTTTTAAGAGAAAGGCAGTGTTTGCTTTGCTGCCTAGTCACACCTCTAGTAGCAGTCACTCAAGTGGCCCCTAGATGTGCTTCCTAGTTTAGAGACTCCATGCTCTGCATGGAGTCACTGAACGTTCCCTATGGAGATGCATTGATTCATTGCATCTCTATACGGAGATGCGGATTGGTGCTGCACATGTTCAATAGCCTCCTAATTCTTTTCTATAGGGAAGCACTGGATTGGCTGAGATCAAGACTGATTATCTCAGCTGTGGAGGCGGGGCCAACCTGAATGAGACAGGCGTGGGAGAAAATGCAAGTTTAAAACCTTTTCAAAGTGATCTGAAGTGGACCGGGAAGCTAAAGACTTAGTTTAATAATATAGTGTTCGGAATACAGGTTTTAATTCCTGACACTATAAATTTTCCTTTAATAGGGTAATTATGGGGTGTATGGTAGCACTATATTATTATTGGCATATATAATTGCATAAACTAATTTCGTAGCACTTTACAATAAATGAGACCATTAAACAGTGACACAGGAAAAATAGGTAGACGAGGGCCCTGCTCAAACAAGCTTACTGTAACATAGCTGTGTAATACAAAACTTAACTCCCACTACTCCCATGGATACAGTATGCGCTTGTGACATTCAGTCTGCTAAACAAAAAGTATAGATCTATAGAAAGTTATACTTTATCCCATTTTATCTTAAGCCTCTGCCAAATCAACCATTTAATTTTGATTTTCCCCACTATTATAGTTTGTGAAGGAAACTTCACGGACCATGTGTGTTTTACTACTGTAAAGACCCCAGACTTATACTCTGCCACTCTCCTGAGTACAGAAATATCCCCAATCCCTGCCAAATTGTGAGATGCTATTGGCTCAAATAACAGAAAAGTAAATTTCAGCTTCCACATTTTTACAGATATATTTTGGGACAAAATAGAAGGTGCACCTTAGCTCCATGGCATAGCATTTGTGCAATAAATCAAACTGGGCAATTTAATATGGGACATTTTTAGTCTTCGCCATTTATTCACACGTTTCTGCTGAATTTAGCAGACAAATTTTATATGAATTTCACAGGCTGTGTGACCAGCATCAAACTTTGACACTATTTTTAAAGTGGCATAAACGGTCAATGTATAGGACTACTGTGATTGGCTGTTGAAGCACTCCTATGGCATTTCAGACTGACTTTACAATCGAGGCTTCTAATTGCAAAATACATACCTTGATCACATCATGCACCGTTCTTAACCTAGCTTAGCCATAGCAATTGCTGTTGACGTCTGTCCCTGTAATCACTTGCCTTTGGCTACCTCTGTTATGCCTCACTAGAAAGGCATGAATAGTCCCATCTTGTCGATCCCAGCGAGATCCACAGTCACACACTTTTAAACTGTAAGTGGAGCCTCTGTTTTCTGTAAACTGACCCTCACAAAGGGGTTAAAGATGAAAATTAAAAAGGGGACTTTGAAGATACAATGTTTATTTACTAAACTCGAATTGAAAATACATAGAATCAGAATGGCCAACTTGAGGACAAAATAAGCAAGCCAAGACTTTAAAAGTTGCCAAAAGTGCTAAAAAATAAAAAAAATTTAAAAAAAATAAATAGGAGCAACTGCATTTTAGTTATGGAACAATATCTAGTTCTAGAACAGGGATTGTAGAATTTACAATGTAATAGCTCATGGTTTAATCATAAAATAGAAACATATATCAATAAAGCATGTGGTAAACATAAGGCTGAATTCCTGTTAAAGATAAGAATGCTGGCTCTTGTTTTGCCCATCTTAGTTTGTTTATAGAAGAAGTTCCCATGTTAACCTGCTAGGGTGTTTGTCTTAATCTCTCTGATGAGCAATACAGAGTTACACAATCACTGATTGCCAGGATTAGAAATTACAAAATAAAGGTGCAAGGATGCCACAAAAACCATGTTATTGGCATGACAAAAGGGTTGTTCAAACTCCCTGAAGTGTTAACCGCAAAACAGATTCCCTCATTCCCCTCTATTTGTCCCTCATCCATTTAGATTGTAAGCCTGTTGGTCAAGGATCTTCACTTACTGTTCCTGTGTGTCAAAATGATGTTTGTCATATTTAATAATTATACAGCGCTCCAGAATATGTTGGCATCAATGTAATTGCAATGATGGTAAAAGGAGCCAAACGGTTACTATATTAGATTTGTAGAATCCTTCCAGTTCGCTATTTTGACTACATTCCGCCTTCTGGCAGTATGATACAATTCAGATTATAGTAAATTAACTCCCACCATGTTTTTCAGTGTACAAGGTGTATGTGAATGGCTCAATGAAGCAAACTAGCACTGAAATGGTAGTAGATACTGGAATAGCCTTCCTGTGGAAGTAGAAAAGGAAAAGTATAGGAATTAAATGTGCAACATGTGGGGAATGCATACACTGAGAATTCAAGACATATGGCCATCTCCTGGGACATGCAGTCCTTCTCAGACACATTTTGTATATGCAGGCATACATGAGATCTGGTTTTGAAACATTATCAGTGGATTCAAATACTTAAAAACCGCCACATGACCCTACAATATGGCAGCCAACTGTAACCCACCTATGGAATTAGTTTGCAACAGGTGTATTGAAAGTAAACATGCCAGCACTATCAGAGCACCTGCCATATCTCTAGGGGGTGTAAAACAAGTCATGTTTTTCATACAGCCATGCAGCAAAGATCTGCATGTACATTACTAAGCTAAATATCCCCTGACCTAGCATTTAGCTTACTATTCAAAACTGGCTAACCTTTATCTTAGAGATATAGTGGGATGAATGTTACCTCGTGGTCTGGCTGGCTGAGTATCATTTGGATTGCATTCCACACAGCAGCAGAACTGCTAAACTGAAGTCACTTCCTCAATATTTGTCCTCATTCACCTTATCCTGTATACCTCCCTCCCAGACCTTTTGCAATCTGATCCATTACAGTGATACCCTGCACTATGTAGAATGCAAATTATTTGGGTTATTTTCAATCTTTGGTTCATGGATTTTCTCCCTCAGGCATAGAAATTATGCAGCAGCACCTTTCATTCAATACCCACCAGTCTGTATTGGGGTTACAAGCATAGGTGCACCTTCCCTGCAGGTAGCTGTTCACCTTGGGTAGATAGGTGCCCTCATCTTGGGTAGGTAGGGATTCACATTGGCTAGATAGGTGTCCCCTCCCCTTGGGTAGGTTGGTTCTCCCACTGCACGTAGGGGTTCATCTTGGGTAGGTAGATTCCCCCCCCCCCGCAGGTATGTGTATACCTTGGGTAGGTAGATTTCCCCCCCCCCCTGCAGGTATGTGTATACCTTGGGTAGGTAGATGTCCCCCATGCAGGTAGGTGTATACCTTGGGTAAGTAGATGTCCCCCCTGCAGGTATGTGTCCCCCATGCAGGTAGGTGTGTACCTTGGGTAGGTAGCGGTCCCCTCATGCATGTATGTGTACCCCATGCAGGTAGGTGTGTACCTTGGGTAGGTAGCGGTCCCCTCATGCATGTATGTGTACCCCATGCAGGTAGGTGTGTACCTTGGGTAGGTAGCAGTCCCCTCATGCATGTATGTGTACCCCATGCAGGTAGGTGTATACATTGGGTAGGTAGATATCCCCCCCTGCAGGTATGTGTCCCCAATGCAGGTAGGTGTATACCTTGGGTAAGTAGATGTCCCCCCATGCAGGTAGGTGTATACCTTGGGTAAGTAGATGTCCCCCCATGCAGGTAGGTGTATACCTTGGGTAAGTAGATATCCCCCCATGCAGGTAGGTGTATACCTTGGGTAAGTAGATGTCCTCCCCCCCAGCAGGTAGGTGTATACCTTGGGTAAGTAGATGTCCCCCCATGCAGGTAGGTGTACCTTGGGTAAGCAGATGTCCCCTCCCTGCAGGTAGGTGTTTACCTTGGGTAAGCAGATGTCCCCCCCATGCAGGTAGGTGTATACCTTGGGTAAGTAGATATCCCCCCCATGCAGGTAGGTGTATACCTTGGGTAAGTAGATGTCCTCCCCCCCAGCAGGTAGGTGTATACCTTGGGTAAGCAGATGTCCCCTCCCTGCAGGTAGGTGTATACCTTGGGTAAGCAGATGTCCCCCCCCTGCAGGTAGGTGTATACCTTGGGTAAGTAGATATCCCCCCCATGCAGGTAGGTGTATACCTTGGGTAAGTAGATGTCCCCCCATGCAGGTAGGTGTTTACCTTGGGTAAGTAGATCCCCTCCCCCTGCAGGTAGGTTCCCCTTGCCCTCATTCCCAGCTGCCCCCACTCACAGTCCACGTTCCTCAGCTTGTAGGAGCAGCCAGTAATGTTGCAGTGCCTGGAGGGCACCCAGTGTGATGGGCTGAGCCTGGGGGCCCCTCTGACTGCCCTCTTAGAAGCCAGGAAAGGCCCCAGCAACCTCCTGCATCCCTGGATCACCATGGTAACACAGCCCTCGGTCCCCCAGCTCCTCTCGCCCAGGTGATGTGGCCCCTGAAACGTTCTACTCAATACATTATAACAACACCACCTAGCTCCGCCCCTCGCCAGGCCCCGCCCGGCGCTGCTCCAATCACGGCCAAACTTGAATACGAGGCATGGAACGCACGCTTCCGGGTTCTGGCAACCTGCTTTCTTAATCAGCCAATCAGCAGCTGTCTTTTATTTCACCTCATTTAGGAGTTTCATGAGAGGCAAAATATAAAAACAAAAACATTTCATAAAACTATTAATCCCAATACTTTGCAGCAACTCTCAGGGTATTGCCATAAGGCAGTCTCCCTCACATTCCCAGAATAAGGCTGGACCCTTCATAGTTATACAGGGTTATTCAATAAAGTGAGAATTCAAAGTGAATTTCTAATTCAGAGTCAGAACAGCAGAACTAGGAAATGATCTAAACCAGGCTTCCCCAAACTCCAGCCCTCCAGATGTTGCTGAACTACAACTCCCATGATTCTCAGCCTATCTATTTCATTTAAAGAATCATGGGAGTTGTAGTTCAGCAACATCTGGAGGGCCGGCGTTTGGGGGAGCCTGATCTAAATCGTGCTATCAGTTTCACTACTCTGCCTTAATACACTCTGAATTCTAAGTTTTGTAAATACCCCTACTATTGAGATCAACAATCTGTGCTTGAATTGCAAGTATAAGGTTATGTATTTTCCAGCAAGCGTTTGTATAATCTCAGAACCATGGTATATTTTGTGGAGTTTTTCCCCAGAATATATATTTTTATTAAGGTGTGTATAGGTTAATAGCTTCAACCAGATACATGATACAACCTGCTCAGCATTGGGCTCATTTACCAAACTGAACTGTAGAAAACTGAAAAGGGGAACAGTTTATATATTTTTTTTCCCTAATGTTTGCAATTTGTTGGAAGAATGATCCCTCTTTGTTGATTTTCCAGCTCACTAAAATGGCATAACAACCTTTTTGCCAATGTAACAATTGTCACGAGTCCATAGTGACCCCAAGATGTGAAATTCAGGTAAACGCTTGTTTGATAATATGCCATACTATCCAGGTCTAACATTGCAAGGGATATGATGAAATGTGATCATCTGATGGTAAAACTTGTGATTTGTACTCAAAACTTTGCAAATAGGCCACCTACGGTCAGCTTAAAATAAGCCAGGAGTGCCCTTGGGCCCTTCCAGTGTAAGAAGTTTAAGAATGGATTGAAAACTTTCCTTGGGTGTGCTTTGAGCCTGCTGCCAGCCCTCTTTAGACAAACTCCAGTATAGTATTAATAGGTTCCCCCCCACACCCTCATGGCCCCCCTCCCACTGGGCTGAAGGGGTAGGAAGGGGTTAAACTCTTACCTCTCTCCAGCGCCGGGCTTCCTCGGCGCTGGGGACTCTCCTCCTCCTCCGGACGTCATCGGCTGAATTCGCAAGCGCGGCAAGAGCCGCGTGCGCATTCAGTCAGTCCATAGGAAAGCATTCTCAATGCTTTCTTATGGACTCTGGCGTCTTCTCACTGTGAAAATCACAGTGACAAGTGCGGAAGCGCCTCTAGCGGCTGTCAATGAGACAGCCATTAGAGGCTGGATTAACCCTGTAGTGTAAACATTGCAGTTTCTCTGAAACTGCTATGTTTACAGCAGGCAGGGTTAATCCTAGATGGACCTGGCACCCAGACCACTTCACTAAGCTGAAGTGGTCTGGCTGCCTATAGTGGTCCTTTAAGATATACATTTGGGACTGGAGTGGGAAGTGTGTGGCACTGCCACTGAATTGGTCGGTCCCAACGACGGTGGGGACACTGCCTTTTATAATAATCTCAGCCCCACTTAGGGAGCATACATTAAACGTTGCAGTTTTCTATAGGTAAAGTTATAGATCATACTTAGGGAGTCTCTTAGTAGAACGCATACTTATCATAAAATCAGGATGCTGGTGGGACAGGTAATCTTTATGCCCCAAAAGGGGCAGACCTGCCAGAAAAGGCCTGCCTGTCATGTGAAGTCAGCCCACTAAGGGAAAACCCTGCAGTGAACATTGTTGCAGCTCTCCCTGCAAAGTCATAGTGTCCTGACCATAGTATGAGTGCATCTAATGTTGCGCTCACATTATGCTTGTTGGGACAGTTGTTTGTTTCCCCAAAAGCATGACACCAGGGGACTAAGTCGGGATAGGACCGTCCAGCCAGAATTGGAACGGTTAAGAGATTATCCCAATACACCATGCTTCCCATGTTATTTTTTCTTATCTTACTGGTTTGTATTCCTAAGGCTATAGTGACCCTTTCAACCTACTGACCCAAGTCATAGTTTGTTCATTCTTAAAAGGCATAACCGTTCTGTAATTACACTGCCGGTTGGAATGCATGAAATAATGCAAATCGCTACAATCCTTGCCAGAACAAAAAAAAAACAAAAAAAAAACCCCATAAAAACACAAAGTTAACTTTCTTCTAAACAGAGTTACCTGTGGTAAATTGAAAACAAAAATTGCAAAATGTTGGCCAACAATAGGTTTTAAAAGTTCTCTAGCTGAGCTTCAGTCACAATTTGTTTTATTTACATTTCACTGTTTAAGGAATAAATCCCATAGTTCTCTTTCCGGAGCACCCAGAACTTTTTATTTTGCACATCCTCCATTTGCCCCCCTTGTTCCCTCGGAGTCTGTACATAATGTGCAGTTCTACGCCGAGTACTCTGCCACATCAGATCTGCCAAGAAAAAGCTAAAACCACACCCAGAATTTGGAAAAAATAACTTCTGTGCCCAGCTGTGCTCTCCATGGCAACCTCTAAAGCAAACGCCAGGAAACACACCCAATCAAGGGACAGGAATATGTTCAGAGCTCAGAGATGCAACTTTAGCTTGTGTGCCACTTGCAATGCCTGGCATGTGCAGAATTAGTCATTCTTCAGTAGGTTTGTTTTGTTTCCTGCATAAAAAAAATTAAATAAAATATAATATATATATAAAGCAAACAAAAAGTTTTGATGACTTAAGGAGTTCTGTCACTTTTGATCTTTTCCTAAATATTGAACCTTTGCAAAAAAAAAATAGATTAAAAAAAAATCATCTCACTGTGTTGTGATATCTAAAATTTTAACACAATAAAAAAAAACAAATAAATGAGACAAATCAGGGACTGACTGGGAGCATTTGCAATTCCTTTGAGGGTGTGCAAAAATTGACAGTTTGGTGAATAACGCTGTATGGACTTCTGGAAAATTGATCAGTGGAAAAGTGAAAAAAAACAAAACAATTATCGATCAGCAATTCTCCCAATTCCTTTGCAATGCTCTTGTCAATTCTCAATAAGTTTAGTTTATTGAATAATCCCCATATGTTTACAAACTAACTGCGGGGAAACCTGGCGATTTAACATTTCCTTTTAAAGACAAGCACATAATGTACACTATTCCCCCGCGTATAAACACAGGGAGAGTCTAAAGGTAATTACAGCAGGTAAACAAATACCACAGCACTGTATTGTGGGTAATTTGTCCAATTGGATGAGCTTTAACCCACTTCCTTTTACTCTAAATTCCATCACTTTAGAGTTTTTCGTGAAAATAGAATCTTTCCAGGAAAAAAACAAAATCCCATGTAGATTGTGTTGGAGTTTATATACGTTTTTAAATCAGGAAGATACAATACAAAGCAGGGTCCAACTTCTCTCATAGACCAGCTTATTTTTTGGCAAAATGGGGCAAAGGGCAGGGCTTTAAAAGGATACGTAAAGCACCATAATCACTGCAGTGTGCTGTAATTGTTATGGTTTCAGGAGTTCACTGGTGCCTTCCCATGGTAAGCTGTCAAACATGTTAGGAATGGTTCGGTACCTACCGCCCATCTTGCCTGCATAGCTATGCTAAAGCTGAGATTCTTTAAGTTTAGATTCCAATATTGTTGAATGGCTAAGGCAGTGGCTGAGTGACAGGCAACAGAGGGTTGTAGTTAATGGAATATATTCGAAGCTTGGACTTGTCACCAGTGGGGTACCTCAGGGATCTGTACTTGGACCTATTCTCTTTAATATTTTTATTAGTGATATTGCAGAAGGTCTTGATGGTAAGGTATGTCTTTTTGCTGATGATACTAAGAGATGTAACAGGGTTGATGTTCCAGGAGGGATAAGCCAAATGGCAAATGATTTAGGTAAACTAGAAAAATGGTCAGAGTTGTGGCAACTGACATTTAATGTGGATAAGTGCAAGATAATGCATCTTGGACGTAAAAAATCCAAGGGCAGAGTATAGGATATTTGATACCCTACTAACCTCAACATCTGAGGAAAGGGATTTAGGAGTAATTATTTTTTAGATGACTTAAAGTTAGGAAGACAATGTAATAGAGCAGCAGGAAATGCTAGCAGAATGCTTGGTTGTATAGGGAGAGGTATTAGCAGTAGAAAGAGGGAAGTGATCATGCCATTGTACAGAACACTGGTGAGACCTCACTTGGAGTATTGTACGCAGTACTGGAGACCATATCTTCAGAAGGATATTGATACTTTAGAGAGAGTTCAGAGAAGGGCTACTAAACTGGTTCATGGATTGAGGGATAAAACTTACCAGGAAAGGTTAAAGGAACTTAACATGTATAGCTTGGAGGAAAAAGGAGACGGGGCATATGAGAGAAACATTTAAATACATAAAGGGAATCAACAGAGTAAAAGAGGAGACTATATTTAAAAGAAGAAAAACTACCACAACAAGAGGACAGTCTTAAATTAGAGGGACAAAAGGTTTAAAAATAATATCAGGAAGTATTACTTTACGGAGAGGGTAGTGGATGCATGGAATAGCCTTCCAGCTGAAGTGGTAGAGGTTAACACAGTAAAGGAGTTTAAGCATGCGTGGGATAGGCATAAGGCTATCCTAGTGATAAGATAAGGCCAGGGACTAATGAAAGTAATTAGAAAATTGGGCAGACTAGATGGGCCGAATGGTTCTTATCTGCCATCACATTCTAAGTTTCTATGTTCCCATTCTCATTAGAAATATGGGTTCTGTGAAGCTTTAGGCATTAGTAAATGCCAGAGTGTCAGCTGACACAACATTCCATTCTGTTTTGTGCTGTATAGAAACTGCAAGATTCTATTGGTCGCTGAATCAACAGCGTCTTTAGAGGGACTCTATACCTTATCCTTTTGCAAATGAAAGCATAATCTCAAACAAACATGAGCTGTTACATAATTATAAAGAAAATCCAAAATGTGTATATGGTGATCCAGATGTGGGTAATGCAAGGCCAGAAACAATTAATACTGTGTCCTAGGGTTCTTGCGTCTCATTTGTTAGATTACATTTTTCCACTTTATTTCCAACTCGCCGTGTCTTTGCCATTTAGTGGAGAAATCTCAAGGTTAACATTTATCACCTTTGTCTTTGAAAAAAAATTAAATACTGATTGGAATTTAAACAATTAGATCACATTTTAATTTTTTTAGCAACATTTTCAACAAATATTTACAATATTTTTTATTATGACACAAACTTATTTTTACAACTTTCTCCCCGCATCAATGAAGTGACCCCCTGGAATGGAATATATATATATATATATATATATATATATATATCTTTAGCTTTTTTATCACTTTTAATGCATTGTTTATTATATATAAAAATAAAGTTCTGTTCAGTCTATAATAAGTAATAGTGGTACTTTTTCCAAAAGTAATGTTCGGTAAACAGAGTGAGTCATAGAACCCTGTGAATGAGTCAGAGCGGATACCACAATATTGACTGTTCAAATTTATGGAAAATAAAACTGTTACTAAAAGGGAATTCACATTTCAAAATGCAGTAGGTATTATAAACTCTTTAGAATGAGCTATAACGGAAAATGACAGTTGGCGCTCTGGGTCTCTGCTCGCTTCCAGTCCTGTTGGCCAGGTGGGGCAGAATATGTCCGAGCTACATGAATGATAAATACCTTGTAATCTTGTATTAAACCGCCCCCCCCCCCCCCTCATGAGACAGGGGGGGGTTCATTGTTCACCCATGTAGGGGGTACAGATTCATTGTTCTCATTCATTGTTCACCCATGTAGGGGGACACATCTAAATACACATATCTTACATCAGGCCTTGGGGTTGGCAGATCCACCATGTTTTCCTGGACCCATCATTCTTCATGTAATTGAAAGAGTCGGCCAATATAGTCTGTTAAGTGCAAGAGATTTCACTGTGCTCATCGCAGGCATATACTGAGTGCACTAGAAAAGTATCAGATTGTATGAAACAGGTAGATATAATGCTTGAATGAATTGGAACCTGAGTCAACAGGAGAGCCCCTTTCACCACTCGCCACCCATAATGATTGTGTCCTGCAGATATATGTGAAAAGGAAGTCCATTCAGAGCCAGCAGGCCTCCATAAAGCCAATGAGTTATATATTTTGCCTCCAGCTCTGTCTGGTGGCTTTATACCTTGGTGGTTGGTGTACAAGTGCTACAATATATAGTGTTATATAATGTTGCAACATCTAGCGGGGACCCAGTATTGAGGGTGCAGTGCAGGATATACTGCATTGGGTCTGGGTTGCATCATTGATTAAAGAGTCTTAGTAACAATGATCACAAGTCTTTGCTCCATGCATGCGCACAACATGGCAGTCACAGCTCACCACAAGAGTGTTCGTGTTCTGTCTACCTAGTCCTACAGCTAACCAATAGGTTTGCGAGGTGTGAAAAACTAAATAAAATGCAGAAATGCTGTATTTATCGTTATACTGGACGTGAATGCCTCCATCTCAGCTTCCTGTCAATCATTGTTCTAAGCTCTACCCTTACCCGGTATGGAACATAGTGTAATGGACTGTTTTGCACACAAGAGGTTAAAAACCATTTAGGCGATATTCCCCTTTTTAGATGCACAGACAGCTACTGCAATCACACAAATTCACCAATCTCCCGAACTGGAACCAGGGGAATGCTCCAAACTCCCGAACAGGAAACACACGAATGCTGTAAACAGCCGAACAGGAAAAACCATACAAACAGTTTACACTCCTGGCAGTCGCACTGTAACAGCATACAATCCAATTCCCCCCAAGAACGAGACGACACTTCGTTTGAGGGTCAAGCAGAACTGATTTACTGGGGCTACCTGCCCGGCTTTTATGCAGGTCTCCCACCTGGTGGACACTCCCCTAGGGGACCAGATGGAAGACTGGGAAACATATTGGAAATTGACCAATCACAAGCTTACAATCCCACAATGCATTACAATTCCTCCTGTCTGTCCTGGAGATAATTGGGAAGTAATCCAATTATCTCCAAGGACAGAGACAAAACTCCATTAACCACATGGCAGACAAAGGACAATAAAACATAAAATTACATACACATTCTACCTATCCCCAGTTAGCTGAGATCTGAGCGCACATTATTACTGGATGGCGCTCAGATCACATGCATACAGTTCAATCGCCATGGAGCCAAAGTCTTTCATACAGTCTTTCAGTATGCGGCTGGGCTCCATGGCATAGCTAACTGGGGTAGCATGGGTTAAACAGTAAAGTACCGAATGGACCAGTGTTCGGATAATTGACTGCTGGTAGGAGAAGGGAGGTCGGCGGCTCTGTGGTGTTCGTGACTTTAACAGTCCGCAGAAAGGCACAAACCAGCCTTTCTGGAGGGAAAAAGAACAGTGTTAAACATGGGGCGATAGTCCAGCGGCAGGAGGCGGACGACCAGGCTCCTCCAGTGGCCAGTGGCCACACATAGTAAGTGGAAGAGAAAACCAGAGCATAGTTAGTTTATCCTCCAGTTTATCGTGTGCCCTATTTTTCAGCTAGGGCACACAATACACTGTAGGAGAAACTAATAATGCTCTGGTTTTCTCTTCCACTTACTTACCAGCAGAAACCCAGTCTCAAACCTGGTTTATGAAACTATTTTCAAGTAGTTTGCCACTTAGACAGTGTGACCATAGCAATAAAGCCAATAATTTGAGTCTCAGAAGGTAGCCACGTGAAACACCAACATGAAAAGGCTAGAAGACACTATCTATGATCCATTGAACAATACAATCTCTTGTGAGCTAATGGTCGATTATAATTTAATGTCAAGAGACGAACACGATAAGCATCCTCAGACTACCTGCACCCACGCATGAATTCAAGCATTGTTATTGGGAAACACCTTATAAAGGTGTGGCAGTTTATTTGGCTGGGTGAGCATGGTGTAGATCACAAAACAGAATTAGGTTTCTAGAAATAAAGGCAAAATGTTATTGTAAACCCAACTGGAAGAAAAGGAAAAACAAGGAAACTACCGGGTAACATTAGAAGTTGGACTCCAGTTGGATTCTGTGAGTGGCACAGTCACTAATCCCATCCTGACCCACTGAGGCTGTGCCAATAAATTGTAAAATTTGTTTTCAAAAATTGTTTATTAAAAGAGTCCAAGAAAAAGAAATCTTGACAGTTGATCAAGAAAATCTAGTAAAATAACTGCTGATTTCCAGATACAACAGAACTTTTCAGTATAGTTTTCAAAAGATGAGAAACTAAACAATTCGCCATCACTCATCAATATGCTGGTCGAATATCATTCCCCCTCCCAGTTCCCAAAGAAGTTCTCGTTCACAGCGTGCCATTATTTAGACCCCCTATTTAGAATTCCACCCATTGTACTGTGCTACGGAATCTGATGGCGCTATATAAATAATTCAATAAGAATAATGAACATTAAGCCCTTCAGGTCCAGGCTTACGCAAATTCCTTAGTGTAAAAATATATATCCATTCTAAAGAGGTTAAATGTCCATAATGATTTGGTGGTAAATTAAATGGATTATATATTTTCTATCAAAAAAAGTATTATTCCAAACTGGTCAAAATATTGAACTTGCATTTAGAGTTATCAGATGCATTGCTGGAAGCATAGATCACTTTCTCTGACTGGTGGGTGGTACATGAAAAGAGATGCCCTATTGTGTTTAGAATTATCCCGTGGGGACAAAATAAATAAACTTCTTCTTTGAAGACAGATCAGCATGTATCAAGATTGTTTCTCGTTTTTGCTGTTAAAGCATTTGTATTCTTAATGGCTTAACTGGCCAAGCAAAATATAATTCCTTGCACAGATAGAAGGCTTTTATCAAAGTGATGTTGAAAAACTCAAGAAATAAAAAAAAAAGTTGAAATTTCTTTATAATACCAAAACTAATATTAATGTATTCTACATTTCCTAAGTACGTGGGTTAATCTCATAAATGCAGGTATCTGGTTGCAATGCCAGGCTGGGGGTACATTGGCAGTTTGGCGTTGTGGCAGGGTTATGCAACGTATGATCATATACTGTAACTAAACCCCCATTATATTTGGTCTCGGTGAGGGGTTTTAAACATTAATATTACTAACTATGCATTTTGATATTTGCAGTCTAGTAATGGGTGAGTGCACTGGATATGGTGTGTTTCATGAATTGGCCCCAGCAGCACCCTTCATGTATACACGTTCAGGTGAGTGCAACCTCCTTGGTTTTATGTCTATCTATATATCTATCAAATTGGGCTGTGGTTGTTATGGTGCCTAGTGTATCCTTTTTATGATAGTGGCATACAATACTGAAATGTTCTCCGGACCAAAACACGTTATCACATAGTGATCATTGGATACTGAAAGGATCCCTTAGCAGCTGATACATGAAATTTTGGAAATCTATAATAGCTTGCTTTCCAAGATCCACTGTGTTTTGTTTTTTGGAGATTTCAAATTTCGTCATGATGGGGTGTGCATGTGGTTTATAGTATTTATGTGCACTAAAAAAAAGGGAAACTCTTAATCCACGAGAAGATACCAAGGGGTTTATTGTCTAAACACCAAATTAATAGGAATTGAACATGTAACTGCAATATTTAGGAATAAAGTGTTGATTTCTGCAACTCTATAGTCACAATGTTCATATTTTAGCTTAATTTTGTATCTGCACATCTTTCAGTGGTCACTTACACACATCCCTATCCTACAGTGTGAGAGAAGCCAAAATAAAACCAGGATAAAGAGCCCTTTAGCAAAACACAATGTCCTGACTCCAATTGTCACTAAGGACCAGAAAACACTATGAAGAGGGTAATTAAAGGGGTACTTACAGTTTGCATTTGTATTTTGCAAAGAGCATGTTGCCAAGCTGCAGTGTCTGGCATGGAGCCCACTCTGATTGAAGAGGAGATTTTTCCCAATCTGCTTGGTGACAGCTAACAGGGACTTCACCCTCATTATCTGAATGATGTCCCTTCTAATTGATAACTGGTTTGCTTGCTCTCAAGGGATGCCAAGTGCCTGTCAGGCAGAGACTTACTGACCTGTCTCTTATATAAGCTCAGATGCTCTCTGCATGTCTTTTTTCAGAATACTTCATATTCCACCCAAGTCTCCTGATTGGCTGCAAGTTACTGTGGGGCTGGGCCAGCTCCCATGGTTTGCACTGGGTATACAAACAAATCAATTGAAAGGCTGCTACTACAGCAAATAGGATTTATTTATTTTTTTACTGCACACCTGCCAACAGTCCCAAATTTCTAGATTCAGTCCCTAATTTACATTTAACTCCAAGTACCCTGCTATCTGGGAATTTGTCTGAGATTTCAATTAGGTTTTACCTTTAATGGGGTAAAAAGGCTATTGCTTTAGAATGTATGACTAATATTGCATGCTTATCGCATCTTGGATGATTTTTCTGTTTGATGTTCTGCATGAAGCTTATTGTTTTTTTTATTTTTATTCTATTTATTAATATTTGATGGCACACGAAAAAAAAAAAAAATCTGCCTGCTCTGTTTGCAAGTGAACTCCTTTATTCCAGGGTTTACACGTTAAACTGCATTATTAACCCCTTAAGGACACATGACAGAAATATTCCGACATGATTCCCTTTTATTCCAGAAGTTGTGTCCTCAAAGGGTTAACGGAGTGGCAAAATTTATACCAAAACAACTGAATGGGGAAATAGCTGGAACACATAAGGTCGGACGTTATATTCCAGAATTCTCTGGCTACATTTTAGAAATGAATTTTTAGCTCAATGTATAGTAAAAGAAAAAAAAAACCTTCTGTCACTCATTCAATTATTATTATTATTCGTTCTGGTTTCTGTACCTGATTTTCTACTATGCTCCATGGTTTTAGCCTTTTACACGTATACCTGCCTGCCAGCGCTTCTAAATACTCTTACATTCCACGTCTACTCTGATCTCTGCCTCCAGCATCATACAAATATATTCTTCTAAATCTGTTCTCAGATCCACCTATCACTTACTGATCAGAGGAAATAGGATCAATAATTATACAAATGATGTGATATGGAATTTGCCCTAGAAGAAATGCTAGAAGCTGATTTAAAAGTGAAGCAGTCGCCGTGGAAACTAATGGATTGTACCATGGTGATTGTATCACATTTAGAACCATGCCTACCCATTGTACAGCGCTACGGAATTTGTTGGCGCTATATAAATAATAAAATAATAATAATAATAATAATAACTCACGTTTTTTGGTTATTGACATATTTATGAATCTTCCCTTATCTGAGGCCACTTGTCAAAAACAAAAGTAAAGGCAATATAACATGCAGATGCTGCAGAACATCTTTGAAATTAGAGCTGCCAATCACACAACAAGCTGAGCGCATTGATAGTCACTACATCCTTACAGGTGGATTGCTGCTGAGTTGAGATAAAGGTCTTAGAGTCCTCAGGTGACCCAACTTGTGAGGGCATTGCAGAATGTTATCAAAGTAGAATAACAGGATTATTCAGCAATGTGAGAATTGTCAGTAAATCAAAATACATTTTGAAATTTTGGACCAAAAGAGCAAAATTGTAATCGTTGAATTTTCAAATGCAGTTGCTCAGGTCTAAATTTTGATAATTGCACATTTTTTTTGTTTTGGTGTGCAGGCTTAACAAATGTATGCTAGCTACAGAAATAAGTAATCTGGTACAGCTAGAGGTCAATTGTCGTGCAATCTGGTTGAGATTGAGATGTAGGCATCAGATACTAAAATTAACATAACAGTGGAACCAGTATTCTTGTCGTAAATTGGGCGGGCACCCTTAACAGAGACATTCATATCTTTAGTAAAATAAGACGTATGATACTATCATGCATGGCTAGTTTAAAGTCGTTTACGTAGAGGCAGAAGCTGGCATAACATACGTGTATGATACCGGTATCACTGAATAGGCAGCAGTAAATTACCTATCTCAGTTTTAATTCTTTATAAATGCTTAGTAAACCGTAGGGTAACAATAGTTTGACAATTTTTTTTTTTTTGTTTAATATCATTTTTATTGTGTTTTCAATACGTAAAATCATTGCATGGGGTACAGAATAGAGAAGGGATTGGCAAAAATATAACATAGTGGGGGTCCTGCAGAGTTATACAGAATGATTAAAACAGAGTTGTTTCGTATACTTGAACCCGTTCTATGTTAACGAAGTGTGGTGATGGGGATGGAGCAGGTGGGAAGGGGGTGAACGGGGTGAGGGCGGTGGTTGGGAAGTAGGGGATCCTGTCGCTACCTGCCTATATAGAAGTTTAGAGTCCGGAATCTCGAGTTCTCCGGCCCTCTGTGGTAAAGTGTTTGGATTTCCGTATAAGACTGGATTAAATACTCTCGCTACAGCTGGTTATGAGTGCGTTTCCTGCGGGGGGCATTCCCAGTAGGAGAGCCAGGGTTTCCAAATTTTGAGATATTTAGTTCTCTTACCCTGTGTTGACCAGTGGATCTCCTCTAGCTCTCTGGTCCTCTCCACCCTTTGGACCCATTGGTCTCTAGAGGGTGTTTGTGGTTGTCGCCAGAGCATAGGTATAAGTGCATTGGCCTCGCCTAGGAGGGTGTTTAGGAGTTGCTGTTTATACGGGTCTATCAGTGCCCGAGGCCACCCTAGAAGTACCTGGGAGGGGGATATATGTGCCCTCATGGATAGGATTTTCTTAATGTCTGTAAGTATCAGGTCCCAGAATGGTGCTATGTTCTTGCAGCTCCACCATATGTGTTCCATGTTGCCCTCTGCTCTTTCGCACCTCCAGCACTGGTCGCTTACTGTGGGCCAGTAGGTGTGGAGAAGGGCTGGTGTTCTATACCATCTGGTGACCCGTTTGTAAAATGTTTCTTTGCGAGCAATGCTTAGCGGGGATTTCATCCCTAAGGTCATGATGTGTGCCCAGTCACTATGCGTCATGTGAATGTGGAGTTCCCTCATCCATTTTCGTTGGTATGAGGGTCTGGGTGTATCCGCTGCTTCCATTTGAGTTTGACAATTTTGAGCAATCCGTAACGTGGTTGTCTTAACGACAAGCTTGATGTGTTGAATCAGTTAAGTAGTGTGCTTATTATGTGAGGCTGACTCATATGCACCTCTGACTGTTGCAGACCTATTGTCAGTTTAGTATGTATGTGAAATCTTAAGTGTGAGGTGTAGCTTGCAATGCCTTCTTTGTCTAGGACATTAGTGGAACTCTGTCACAGTGTCCGGAGGCGGGGAGGGCGGGGTATTAAACATATGTGTCATGGCTGCCTTGTTATACCATCATGTGTGACAAGTGTAACATAGTGTAAAATAAATGTCACATTATCGGAGGAGTCAAACAGAGTGGAGAACAAAACATTTGAAAATTAAACATATCCCTGCAAGGTAGGGCTGAGTGTAGGACTGTCCTCAGGATGTTGTTGCTGCATATGAGTCCGGCAGGGCACCCCGTGGGATGAATGGGGTGATCTTTGCTGGATTCCAAGCGTGTGGGGGACCAGGATCGGTGGTGGGTCCTTTATTGCTCAGACTGTCTTGGGGGAGGCCCAGGGCTTGTAATAGTGGTGTTGCTTCGTGGATGTCTTGGAGCAGATGCGTGGAATCTCCGTGTGTTACCATGAGCGTGCGAGACATACGCCAACGGTAGCGTATATTCTTTTGCTGGAGGAGGGCGGTGAGAGGCCTGAGGGACCTCCGCCAAGCCAGGGTGCTGTTTGAAAGGTCCTGGTAGAAGGCCAGCGACATGCCTTCCATTTGGTATGAGGACGTTCCTTTGAGGGCCGTAAGAACTGCTGCTTTGTCTATTCCCGATTTGAATTGGACCACCAGGTCCCGTTGGAATGTTGCTGGAGCCTTGGCCGGTTTGGGGGTTCGGAATAGGCCGTCCAGTTGTATAGCTTTAGCCTGCCGTGGGGGAAGTAGTGCGGCTATAAGTTAGATGTGTTAACTCAGCATCAGGTATGTCCTCCGGGATACCTCTAACTTTCAGGTTATTCCGGCGTCGGGCGTCTTCTTGTGCCGCAAAGCGGCGGTCATACAGTTGGTTCTGTTTTTGCAAGTCTCTGACCTCTTGTTGTAGTGTTTCCATGCTTTGTGAGCTTGTGCGCGAGGCTTCCTCCAGCACTCCGATGCGGCCCGTCAGGCCCTGCAGGCCACTGCGGATCGTGGCTATGTCTGCCTGCAGTGCAGTTTTCAGGTTGTCCAGCAGCTCCTTTAGGACGGCCGTGGTGACCGGAGCTGCATCCGGAGTAGTCAAGCCTGGTTTTGGTTTTGGGGTGGCAGGTAGGATGTCATCTTCCCCGTCCATGGATAGCTCGTCGGAAAAATCCGAACAGCCCCCAGTGAGAGCGGCCATTTTAGGCCCGTACGCTCCCTGCGCCTGCTTCCATAGTTCTCCGATATCCATTCCCATGGTCGGTTTATCTGGTTTAGTTTTTTTTGATTTGCGCCCCATGGTGCCTATACGGACCGGTACTACTCTCCAGGGTCAGCTAATGGTGGTTTTGATGGCTGAAATTAGGCTTTTTGTGGCATATAGCTTGGAGCTTCAGGGACATGCGACCGATTGCTTCAGCGGCTTAGCTCCGCCCCCTCAGGCCTAAATGTTCAAATTCATTTTGTTTTACTGACAATTCGCTGTTTGATGAATAAACTCCAGATTTGTTTGTGACGTGCAGACAGACACGCCCTTTGTCTGTTGTTTAATTGTCATCCCCTATCTGCCTGTTGGGAACATGTCAATAAAACAGGACAAGGAGTAATAATTAAACCTAATTCTATTTAGTAATGTCCAAATTTCAACTCTGGAAAATAACTGGAATAGGTTAGCACATCTGAAAACAGAACCGTAGCAGGGTTATTCACTGAAATCAGTTTCAAATCTAATGCCAAGAAAATCAAACTAGAAACAGAATTGACTAGAATTTTTCTAATTAAATTATTTTGGCTTAAATCTTGAAATTCACTTTGAATTCCTGGCAATTCTCACTTTAGTTCTATGACATCGCTAGAGTAAGGTAAGGGGGGCAATAGCCCTCTAGACTATTCTTTACCACCACCACCCTCCACGGGAGGAGGGCCTGATGCTACCTAAACAAGACAGGTGAGAGAGGCTCTCCCTGCAC